GGTTGCGCCGCGGAGGTACCTATGGGAACCTGGCCGGGGTCCATACTATATATAATTAGAGCTCGACAATCAAGCATGAATCTGTTTCTAGGAGCATTTACAACGTTGATCGTTTATTAACCTACAATTTTCTGCTCAAGAAAATTCGAAATGTAACGTTGGCAAAATTGAATGTACATATCAGGTACAAGAAGGTATATTCCATATCAGGAATCTTTGTAGCTTGATTCAGAGGCTTTCCCTCTTGTCCTATTACGTGATCTGATAGAGCAAGCCTATCCTTTGGCTACGTGAAGATGTTTCATCGTAGATTCACGATCGCGATGTAGTGTTTCGACAACCTGAAATGAGCCTAGAAACCAGGAAGTGTTTTCAAAGCTCTAAAACCACTTCTAATAATCAAATTTGATCCTTTCACAGAAGTTGATGTCCCTAAGGCATAATGAAAAAACTTATCTCAAAAATATTTTGCTCGTTTCAAAACCAATATGTTGGCTCCCTAGCACCTCCTCACCTGTTCTTAGATGATTCCCTTCTTGGCAGTTTGACATGCCCTTGCCTACTGGATTCAAGATGTTCCATGGCATAAATTTATGTTTTTTCAGTCACTCTAACTTGGCATTCTTAGTGTTGAGCGAAGATTTTGTTACCGATTCATTTTGAAATTTTTTTGGAGTGCTTTTCGATCAGAGTCAAGCGTGTGATGCGACTGTCGCAACGGGGGTCGTAAGCAACTAAGGTGGGGAGGGGGTCGTAAGAGGAGGTAGTTAGGCTAAAATACCCTGAGCTTGAAAGGGAATCAAAAAGCAGATAATTAGCTATGTTCTTTACAATAAATCTACAAAAAAGTGGAAATCAGAATAAAAAAGATAAAAAATCTGTAGAAGCTCAAAACACTTTTGAAGGATGTATGATCTGATAAAAATGCTATTTGTACCGATTGCCCTAAAAATCTTGCTTCTGAACCCTCCTGAAGTTTCACACACTCGACAAAAGCGAACATCTTTACCAGCTGTGACCATCATAAATTTCTAAATCTTTTTGTAATGTTTTTCACGGGCCCACATGATTTAATTGTACTTTGGAGATGCTCCGCTTTATCAGTGCAAAATTAGGTGTTATTTTGCCAACTGTGGATTTTCTTATAATTTTACGTATGGTAGCAAAAAAAATCAGGAAAGGGGGTCGTATCTGGGTCGCACCTAAATTTCTTCGGAGCTATCGAAGCTTGTTGGCTGCAATTTTGCTGTAATATGCGACCATCCTCCTACTTTCCCTCATAAAAATTGCAGGCTGTTTTATAAATTCTCTGGTAAGTTACAAAATTTTAAGCTCAAAAATCTCAGTTTTTGCTTTTTAGGATCGCATCTAAATGTGCGAGAGTCGCATCTAAATTTTTTTGAGCTTACTGCTCTTCAAGGGATGAAGCTTTTTCTACGGATAGTTTGGGCACTATGCTACAGAACCTATGCTTTGCAGCCTCTCAGCCTTTTCCTGCCTTTAATTACGAATTTTCGAACTACCGTGCTCATGCACGTTTTTGACATCGTTCTGGACGGCGCTAAAGCGGCTTTTTTGGCGGGAAAAACTGTGGAAGAGGTAGGAAGTAAACTTCTTAGTCGAAAACATCTTTTGTAGTTCAAGAATGTCATTTTTTTCGTGCAAAAATTTGTGTCGCATACGGAAATCGAATTTGCTGGTCTGAAGTATGCCTGAAAATTTGAAAAAGACTTGCAGAATCTCAAACATTATTGAAAGTCTCTATGTGTGCTATAGATGCTAGGCGCACCAGCTGGCCTAGAAATTCTGCTTCCGAAACCTCACTGAAGTACGGATGGGTGCCTTCCAGGGGGGGAGGAGTCGTAAATGAGGGTCCCGGATCGCATCAACACGCTTGACCCTGTTTCCGATGTTTTGGCGGACATAATTACACAATGAGAAGAAGAAGCTTGGGCAAACAGCGACAAACTTTTTACGAAGCGTACTTATCAACAGAAAAATCCAAATCTATTGTCGATTATCTGTATAAATAAAACTGAGTGTTTGCTGGCATGTATGTATAGCACCGTACTGGCTAGTTTCAAGGTACTAGGTTGTTTCGAAAGTTCTGTCCCATTTGCTAATTCTGATTAAAAATGTTATAGCTCTCTTCAAGATTAACACTTTTGCACATATTAAATTTTTTCGGGTTGAACGAGGTTACGTCTATCACATGCATAGTTTGCCATGTAAGGAAAGCGAGCGAGAGAGAAGAGAAAGTTTGGAGAATTTTGCGTTTCATTCAAAACCATCCAATTTGGCGTATTAATGCTTCCATATCAGGATACGCGGATATTGTAGTTGAGGTACGGAAATATGCAGAACAATAACGGTCTAATACCAATATACTTGTACTCGTGCCACGCGGGCGTATATGTGACGATGTGTACCTCAACTCGAACTTGGTATTGGGTGATTCAACCGTTCACTTCTGAAATAACAAAATAAACGCGTACGACTAGAAAATACATGAAAAGGCTCAACACACTACTAGGGTAGCTACTATTCGTATATGATTCAGCGAGATAAAATGATAAATAAACGAAGGAATAAAGTCACCGGCACTTAACCGGCCAAGCGACCATCTGATTTCGACTCGCCAGTTAGATCCTCCTCTGAACGCATTCCACAATCATCTAGCGCAACTGGCGCCTGAATTACTTGCTCGCACAGTGGTTTGTGCTAGAATAGGTTTGCAAGAAGAGGAATACTGTAACAGGCAGACCGTAGCATAATCGCTTGTTTTCCTTGTCGTTGGCGACAGACATAACTGGCTGCCACCATTGAGTAGCCTATACTTCAAAGAATTTCGTTGCTAAAGAAAATTAGAGTTATTTTTGATCTCACAGAGATCTTTACGAGCAAGTCAAAAAATCCATTACTTGAGCCCTTTTCACGGGCGCAACTAGGTCAACCTTTTAATATTTGAATTTTTCTTGCTGTCGCAAACGAAGAAAGTTAACTGGCCGACGGTTCCCGTTGGTCTCGGTTCACTCTCGTGTGCTATTAGTGCACCGCCGTTCGCTATACGTCGATTGTTGTTACTTTTTGAAATAACTGAGTTTTTCGTCTACGTTTGAGAAAAAATTGAAAATAAGATGTTTGCTTGGAGGTAAAGTGTGCCCAAGTTAGCCCACTACACCCTGACTCATTATAAAATATTACATATTTAATTTCACGAGTACTGCCCGAATTCTCGTCATAGAAACATTTTCTTGAGCATGATGCATTTTGGCTGTTTGGCTTCGGGGCTTCGACTTTTATCAGTGAGAAAATGTTTTGTCAAGCATCAATGAGCACTGGAAAGATCAAGAAAAGTGCTTTTAGATGATATTCATATTTCTGCAAAAAATGCAGAACTCTAAGAAATCAGCTGCGCTGAAACAAAAGAATAGAATACGGACAGAACTTTTGGAACAGCCTAATATCTCGCCTACATTCTTTTACAGATTTATTACAAGTTCGCGAGCTTGCAAGTTGTTCTACATCCAATACAGAGTAACTTTGTCAGAATCAGAGCGAAATTCCATGCTCTTTCATTTCTGATCTTGGCAAATGTCCATTATATTACGTGATGCTGAGCGCTCTCAAGATCGTTAATTGCTTTCTTTATCATCAGTAAAGCCAATAATCAAATAAATCTACTTATCGGCTTAATGCCTTTCAAGACCTGAAAAGCTGTCAGCAGATACATGCATTTAAATGTTTTAAGGTCATACATACCTGCGGTGACACAGTCTAGTTCCTTCCACCATCCTGACACAATGTATGTCATACCGGTACTCTCCTGTGTGCTGAAATGAGCTTTCCTTTCTTGGTCAAACTCTCCACACATTTGTAGAAAAGTGGCGAGTTCATTGTTTAGCTTCTCTTTCTTTCTTCTTTCCTGTTCATCTTAGGATATCTGAACGCAATCCAACAAACCTCTATGGTTTTACCTCTACCTTTGTAGTCTCGTCCAGCCGAATAGACCTGTATTGATTGTTGGCTGTACTGATAAAAAAGGAAGACACTAACAATCCTGGAAAGCTCAGCATCATTTAGTATAGGGTGTCCAAAATGTGTACACTATTTGATCATTGATAACTCTTTTTCTTTGATGTCTGTCGGCAAACCCTAGCTATTCCGTAAAGCTGGCTTCATTTCCCGATTTGAGATATAGAGCGAATCACTGATCTTTCTTCATTACCGTATGATTACGGTAGAAACTTCGAGAAAATTTTTGGGTTAAGTCATATATCGTTGACGAAAGAATATTAAACAAACCAAAAACTCTTATACCAGGCTGATTGAATTCGTTGATTTTAAGTGGTTTGTACTCAACTTGAATCCTTTTTCCATGAGTTGTTTCAAGTATGCCGTGGAGATCGCATTTCCACTTTTCGTCGGAACTGCAATTCCACCACTTCAAAAATTTTTTAAAGTTGTATAGTGAAGTCAGTATGTATGAAACTTGTTACACAATTTTCCAGATTTTTTGGGAAAAATTTTGCCAAATGGCTTGTTTTACATCTGTTGAAATTTTCTATCTTAATTCTACAGTAAACACCCATTAATGATTCACTCCACTCTGTAAATCTAAGTTAAGACCAGGTCTAAAAAACGGTACTAAAAATTAACGAAAGAAATCAAAGTAGAAAGTTGTTATCAACGCCAAACAGAATACACACTTTTTGGACATCCTGTATAATGTCGAATTTGTTGCAGAAAGCAATAATAGGTTATTTGTACTAGCAGTACATGATGACTTATGTTTGTGGTCAGGCATAGGTTGGTACATATTTAGTTTTACTGATTTCGAAAAAGAAAGACTATCTGTTTTGCTATAGTTTTAAAATTTTATTCACCATATTCCGTGCTTCTACCGTACAGGTATGTCATTGAATAGCTTTTAGATCTACACAGCACTACGGCGATGCGGATTGCTAGATATGAAACCGAGATAATTAAACAAGAATGAGATGGTACGAATTTTCCACAGCTTTGTTCAACACATTTTTGATAGATTTTCCAGGTTCTTTCCAGAAAATTACAAGTACTGATAGCCTGTGCAATCTTCTTTCTGATGTACATCCTGATTATCTCTTCGCCGGCAACAGTCGTTGTGGACGTACGTTGACTAAAAGCTAAAACAATTTCTATTCAACTAGAGTTGCAGCAGCCGCAAACAAGTTATTTTCTTGGGAATGATGGCTGCTCCTGCACGCACAAAAACGTCACATACGATTTCTGCTACCATTTACCCAAGAATTGGACCATTAAGGGAAGACGCTTCAACTGTAGTTTCTCTTCACATCTTGAAAAGCTTGGTATGTGTGCGGACTTCTCATTCTCCTTTATGAAGATACAGATATAAATTTAGGATTGTTATCGAAAGCGAAAGTCATTGATTTGATGACAGAAAAGATGCCCACGCCGATGTTCGTGAGTGCTATGTCTGAAAACCACTTTATGGAAGGACTTAACCTGGTATAGATATAGTCACTTGAGTAAAGAAATATGACTTCAAAACTTTGTATTCCAGAAATTGAGAAATAGGGATATAACAACAGAAACTCAAAACGATTACGCACTAAAACAAGGCTATATCTCGCAAACGCTCTTCTATTATGTTTATGTGTTAGTATAGTGAGAACAGCATTGTTAAAAAAGCATTGCTATGGTTCGTTGCTGGTTCTCATATGGAACCCTTGCGGGTGTCACATACTGACATGGGCTACAAGCACTGGTTCTAAAGGCTATTGCATGACGAAGGCGCAGAAGCAGTATTAGCTGAGCGGCTGCGAACGCAGCGCGAGCGTATCTTCACCATTGCAAATGCTGTGTCTCATGCGCCCTGTGGCTAATAAAGCCGCGTTTGCGGGCAGACATATTGCGCCTTCGTCATGCAGCAGCCTATAAATCATCTTGATTTGCTATGGCTTCGCTGCGCAGAAAGTAAGACAGTGGCTCGTCATAAACATTTTGGAATTTTGAAGCAATTCATGTGGCACAGAATGCTCACAAAGGAAATTTGTTTAACTTTTGCGCGCGCTCAAAAAGAGATCGGGATTAAGTTTTCCACGGTTGAAGACGCATGTTGTAATGCTATTGCCTTAAGTGCCCATGACTTTGCATCGCCAACCTTAGCTAAACTCATCCATTCGTTCAAATTTGGAAAGACCTTGAAATTTCTCGCTTTTCTGCCCGTTTTGAGACGAATTTTCGGATTCAGCGCTATTTGTAAGTCTAGGCAAGCGTATATTTTTGGATCGACGGATTGCCAAGCCACTGCTTCTGAAATGTCAAAAAAATAATTCTAGTTTCAAAGTATCCGTAGACAGAGTAGTATTGAAATTTGAGTCGTTCGAGTTATTAGCGCATCGCTAAAATTTTTACCTCAGTTAATGATGCATGCAATCATTGTCTCTACAGAGTAAATGACATAAAGGCTCCTGAATCGCAGAGTCGTTTGCACCAGCGGTCGCGCGACCGCGTCGCGCCCGGGCATCAATGGCGCCGCCTCGATCGATAGCGCCGGCGCCGGCAAAATGCTCGGGCCCGACGCGGTCGCGCGACCGCTGGTGCAAACGACTCTGCAATTTAGGAGCCCTGTGACTGAGTACGTTATCGAAAGCTATGCCTCTGTAAAGCGCAATCGCAGCTGACACTTTTACTCGATTACTTTCGTATTGTTTTGCTCGATCGTAAGAGAGTTAAAGGTGGGTTTTCCAAGATAATGTTGGTATGTATCAGTTGTCCTGCTAAAAAGGAGGTAGTAATGTTCTGCTCAACCATATTTTTTTAACTTTCTTGTACATTCGAATTTTGTACCAGCTTGTCTCAATGCTTGTGTTCAATTCGGCAAACGTCGGAGAGTAGTAAAGCGGTAATATAGGCGTCGTTTAGGGTCGAACCAGTGTGCGTAGTACGCGGAGTACTGGCGTACGCAGCCTACGCTCCCAGTATGTTTCTTCATAGGAGCGTACCCTACCTACCGTACGCGGCGTACCTGCGTACGCCGCGTACGCTGCCCAACCTTTACAGGCGCTCATTGCTTTCATCGTTGCTGACTAGAAATAATGAATATAACTGTATGAGTAACACGCTGAGAGCGGAATTTTAGAATGTAAACATGTTTAAGACATCTTTGAATGAATGCTTTTGCAAAATTCAAATCAGCCTTGTCACGACCCCTTTTTTCTGCATTTTGGAAACGCAAAGTTTATTGGAAGCATCCCAAGAATTTTCACGTATGCATAGCTTCCCCCCCCCCCCCCCGCACGGAAATCCTGGGACCGCCATTGGTAGGGAATAGGAAAAGCAGCAAGGTGGCTTATTGGCATAAACAATTTCTTTGGCAGTCTTTGTTTTCCGACTTTCGCTTCCGAGCTTGACATGCATATTGCATATTTTTGCTAGCATCAAATATGTATACTCTTCTACTGGTGTTATCATAAACTTGGACAACTCGGTTCAATTTGAAAAGTGGTAGTATGTTATATTAGGTCGATGCAAAAGTTTTGTCAGTTTTTTGAATCCACCGGCAAATATAGAATAAAGACGAACAAATAGCTCAAACTGTTTCCGATGCAAAATATCTTTTTTTCAGCTGTCGCACCCTTAATATGGTTCGTTGAAAGGGCTGAGATAATCTCTGGAGATTACAGCCTTTCGTTTTTACAAGGTTCAGCTAGAAAAAAATTTTAAAAATTTTTCTTGGGACTTTTGGGAAAGCTTTTAAAGCCAGCAGGTAGGGCAAACTTTTCCCAACCGATTCAATTTTTCTTCTCTTTTCAGCTACTCTTTTAGAATTTCTCCAATTGATTTCCCAAAAGTCTTGAGTTTTGGAAAAATCGCGCAATTAAGTTGCACCAAACACTGCACACCTTCAAAATGCTGAAGCTTAAACACTCGATTATTACTAACACTAACCTTATAGACTAAACAGGTGATTCTGACTTCGAATTATGAAGATTTTGCAAATCAGGGTACATTATTGCGTACATGTGAAAATGAGAAATACTGCGATTTTTCCCGCAAATTGCGCATGTGTTGCCAGGAATGTGCATTAGAAAAAGGAGAAAAGCTTGCATTGAATTGTAGTTGGACTATTCAGCATTTCCTGTTCTACTAGGTTAGAATAGCCCGAAGATAAAATATGGTTACTTCAAAAAATATGTTTTAGGACTTCTGAAAAACAAGCCACAAAGTTACAAAAAACTGCTTTAGTTGGCAAAATTGCCCCTGGCTATCATCCCCGACTGCCTTTGATAGAAAAGAGAATTTACGGAATTTGAAAATGGTGAGAATGGAGGATTTAATTTTTAGCGATTATCTCAATGTTCTCTCAACAAACCACAGTGAGGAGAGCGCAGCTGGAAAGAGGAAGAAATGCTGCATCGGATACAGCTTGAGATATTCGTTTAAGTTTACTGTACGAGATCGCGGGTCATTTGAAAATGACAAAACTTTTGCACCGACTCAATACATTAGATTATAACAACAAGAAAACTCCCAGCTTATCTGTATCTCGTAGTTTATCGTTGCTCTTCGCAACGTATGTTCGCGGAAATGATCTTGAGGAAACATATTTTGGTATTTCAAAAATTGAAAGCCGTATGCGAATTGCGGAAACGCAGACTGGTAGAGTCCAATAGACTCCACACTTCAAAAACAGTGTTTCGGCAAAATTCCGTCCTCCAGGTTCCCACCTTTTCGGAGCCTTCTCGTTATGAGGAATTTATGTCTGAGTTTTTCAGCGCATGAAAAGGGTGAAAACAAGTTTTTACCAAAGTTTTTCAGGTCCGCATTCAGTGAAGATACGCTGTTAGTCTTACGCCCCCGCCTCCCTCCAGGCCCTGCCCACTTGCACGTATTCCTCTCTCTGAATGCACCTGATAAGCTTCGTAGAAAGCCTATTTTTGACATTTTCATGCGCTGAAAAGCCAGATATGGGCTCTTTACTGCAAGAAGACCCTGAAAAGGTGAAAATCTGGAGAACGAGATTGTGCCGAGACACTGCCTTTGAAGGCAATGTCTCACCAAAATTTAGTTGCCGAGATTTTTGCATTTTGCAAGCCTGTCGGACCCTGTCTAACGCTGTATGGACTTAAAATCGCAAGAAGGTCCCAAAAACCCCGTTTTCTGGAGGCCCCGTGGAAGCAACGTGGACGAGTTGTACCTTTCAACTTCAGCCTCAACCACAGTGGCAGCAACAGAGGGGAGGTGGATGCCAAGTGGAGGGACATGTTTGAACGCGTAAGGTGGGAGACCGAAGGAGTCGTCCGCGCATACCAAATCACTTTCCGCGTACCACTTTGAGCGAATTTTTTTCAGCGTGGAGGGGGTCAAAATGAGTGGAACTTGTTGCAATGGCCTGTTTAGACGTCCCTATAATATGTGAAGATCCGAGCGACCTCAACTTGGTGAGACATTGCCTTTAAGAGTTATCGTTAATAAGTGAAAAAAACGCTATATGGTAGTGTGAAGAGTTTGATTACCTATAGTAAAGCTGATGCGTAAATGCTTGCAACAGTAAAGTTGTTGTTAAAGTGTATAGGTTCAAATCCTTCCCCACAGATTGCAAACATCCGTAGATTTTGGCCACGTCAGAGAGTTATCGTCTACGATTTGGGTCTCAAACCGAAGACAAAAAAGAAGCTACAAGTGAGACTTTGAAGATCGGCTTTTGACGAATACATGTAAAGCTCGCATTTTAGGAAATGTGTTTGGTTGAAGTGCGGCGTTTTCCATTCAAATCATATCCTCACTACGTACGGCAATTGAAGCAGTATAGATGGAAACCTCTTCTCATAGCAGTAAGTAGCACTGCAACGATCTAAAGAGTGCTGTTGACGTTAATCTTTCTCAGCTTCAATTTTCAACAAGTCCTAGTTAAGATGATGCTAAAGGAGTTCGGCGCTCTATGGTATATGGATACATCTATTAGATGGAAAAGAGATTGTCGTGACAGTGTTTACAGCGAGATCACTTGCCGTAGTGGATTAAACAGAACTTTTACAAGGTTAGCGTTACGCGTTGATGAGCAATTGAGAAGTCGGAAATCTTATATATAAAACGGAATGTCTGTTTGTATGTATGTACGGATGTTCCGAATAGAAATTTTAATTTTTGAGCCGATCCGGACCAAACTTTGCACGCATAAACTTCGGGGACGGGCGGGTGTCATAGGCTACTTTTCGTCATCAATCGATAACGATTTTGTTGATTTTTCAAAAAGTTCGAGCTACGAGGCTGGGAGTTGGCACAGGTGGGTAAGTGAGCATGCTGATTACGAATATATTACTGATAGGGCTGGGCGGAGCCGGGTTTGCCAACTAGTCTATTACTATTTCGAAGCGATTAATGGTTTCATCTCGGAAAATTGACTTCTGGAAATTGACTGGAAGTACAGACTTCCTGGTCATGGGTGTTCAATAATACCAGGTTAGTGCAAGACTAGTGCATGTTTGCTAAAGTCGCTCTGAATAGCTTCTGTTTTATCAAGATTCTATCGCAACATTTTAGCATAACTTCTTGCTCACTCAACGGATCTGCACAAACTTGATTGTACCCAGAGGAAGTCATAGTTTTGCGATGGTACCTTTTGCTTCCTAATAAGAAATGTTTAGATGGAAGCGAAATAATACACAGTGTCCCAAGAAAATGTTAACACTGTTAGATCGTTGATAACTTTCTTGCTTTCATGTCTTTCGCTGAGTTTGAGGCACCATTCTAAAGAGCGAGGTTAGCTTAGATATACAGCATGGAGCGAATCATCGATTGCTCTTCGTAACTGTAAGATTACGGTAGCAACTTTGACAAGGATTTCAGGCATTAGAGGCTCTATTCTGCCTTGGAACAAAACCAAACAAACCAACAACTCTTACTCTATAGTACTGGAAGAAGATAATTTCAAATATGAGATTTCCAATTTGCTGTGACGCTTCTTTCCAAGGTTATCCCAGGTAAACCTTATCAAATGAATTTCCAGCATTTGTCAAAAATGCGGTTACACCGTCAAAAAAGCTAAAAAGAACTCGTGAAAAGTTATGTAATGGAATCAGCGTGCGCGTAAACCCTAGTACACGATTTTTCAGATTTTTTGGGAAAAGATTCTGTCAAACGGCATATTTCACAATGGATCCCCATGCTAGCAGTTCATACCGTAACCATACAGTAACGAAGGGTGATCGGAGATTTGTTTCATACTTTACATCTAAGATGAACCTCGCTCTACAGAATGGTGCCTTGAGCTAGGCGAAAGGCATGGAAGCAACGGAATTATTAACGATCAAACAGTGTGCACATCTTTTTGGGACACCCTGTATAATCATTTCAACTTCAGTAATCTCAAAAATAGGCTGCTAAAAATCTGAATCTTGGGATAAAATTTAAAGAAAGCCGTAACATAAGTCTTTTAACACCCTTTTAACGCACGTCGAACAGTCCGGAATTTGTATTCAATGTGCGTCTCTGTGAAAAAATATGATTCCCGAAGCCGCTGTTTTGTATTGCTCACCAAACTCGTTATGTACACAGATGTGCACATTTAACAAAAATCTGCGCATTTGAAAAGAATATCTCAAACTTACTCTACTGCTCGCTCCGAATTTTATCGCAAGTCAAAATTTTTAGCAGCCTAATACAAAAAGAAAGAAAGCGGTTTCATTTTCCTCTATCTATTTATAAAAGCCACACCTTGAAAAGCAGCAAAGCTGCTTTTATAAATTATGATTTACAATTGAAGTAAAGTGAATTTGTGCAAATCGCTAAGTAAACAAGAAGTTATGGTTATCAAAAATGGTGCGACAGAGCTATTGTACCAACCTAATATTTTTTTAACTGCCCATCTTAACATATTATAAATTATTGGGTGGGTCCGAAAGGTCGTGCCGTTTTTAGGCCTATTCTCAAATCATTCAGAGTAAAGTTAAACAAACACTCTTGAAAGCGTTCTAGGCAGAATTTTTTCCCTTTTCAGCAGTAATATTTTTTTGGATTTCTTTGATACTCGCTTGAAAATTCTTCAAAATCTTCAATTTTAAATGGATAAATGGAAAAGAAGCCCTTCACGTAAACGGAAGCCGTGTCAAGCTTTTTTCCGAATTAGCCAGAACCTTTGCAGCCATGTTAGCTGAGCAGGGATCGACCCTTTGCTTATATGTTTTTAGCATTTCTCTGACATAACATGCATCTTCACTGTGAAGTTTTCAACACAGAAAAAACGGTTTCATACGTTTCTTCAAGCTTTTCCTTCAACGATCGGGGAGCAGGCGCAATCTGCTCCGATGGCAAGCGCGACTCGAATCAATGCGCTGGTAAAAAAAACTCTTAGCGAATGTTCAATGGCATGCTTCACTTCTCTTTCCTTTCTTCTTTTCTTGGGGTTTTTGTGCTCAGGCGTATTTTATAATTCCCTCAGGTGGAGGAAATAGCGAGAGAAGGGGAGGCGAAGTGGAGGGTGGAGGGATAAGTTTGGTGAATTGACGGAAAAGGAAGGACTAGTAAATGTCGAAGAGGACTTCGAGGAAATTCAGAAAAGTTATGGTTTTCAAAAACTTATTGGTTCTAGCTTGCACCAACAATGCTTCAGAGGAAGGATTATTCTTATGACCGAAGATTTACACATTTTGTTTATCATTGCGTAATCTCCTCTAGCCATACTTTTGTGTTTGCCTCCTTCAAATAGTATACTTCTACACAGTGAAACTGCCAAAAGGGCCTGGCAAAGTTGTGCAGATAAAAAACGTCGACTCCTTAATTTTTACCGTTTCTACTTTCTACTTGTTGATCTTTGTTAGCGGGATACTATACAAATACGCTTCATGAATAATTTGGAGCTTTATGTTATCAGACGTTGACAATCTCATTTTGAACATAACTAGGGCGAAATCAAAAGCAATGTGCCTGTTTGCCAAATGTGTTCAGCACCACTGGTACTCCGATTACAACATGTGTATATTCTGCAACCTATGAAAATGCCTTGTAACACAAAGTGTCAATTTTGATTTATACACACCGGGGCACTCTGAGATGGCACCCGAGAGGTTGCGCGATTTATAAGAAAAGCTTGTTTAGTCGAAGTGGCCTTTTTAAATGCTATGTATACCATATTAAAGGGTTAGGAAGCGATTAGGAAGAGAAGTTATGGGTGTTTATTGTAGCGAAAAATTGAACGTGTATTAAGATGAAAGGAGATGCTTCAATCTTACTAGTTTTCAAATTATGCATTCAAGTATGATACATTTTTATCTTTGAGTGTTTATTGAATATAGTGTTCTAATAATTAGCACTGCTCCACTGAAGAGCTAGAAAACGTGTCACGGTTATTTTTGTCCTACTGGCACCATCAACCCTTTGCTCCAATAAGCGCTCATAGCTTCTTGTGCATAAACTCAAATAAGGAAACCGGATTCGGAATCAGCGTTTTATGCCCTTCAATATGATGTAAACTCCATTCAAAAAGGCCACTTTGACTAAACATGCTTCTCTCCTTACAAGAGCTACCTAACTTAGCTCAGCCTTTTAGCAAGGGACATACATGTTCTGAATGTGCTTCAGACGCTGATTCCAACTATGCTATTCCTTGCTGCCGCGCATCTTTTCGAAGCGAGTTATTGGCTTTTCCCTGCGTAAAATTGGCATACTGCTGAACACGGGAAGACTGCTTGCAGATAAAGGTCTGCAAGGAAAAGGTGCTGACATATCGAAATAATACTACCCTAATTTCACGCGTACAAGGCGCGGGGTGGTCCTAGCTTTCATCGAGCTGCTCAGCCGCTCTAACGTGTTTTAAGAAGCGATCCTTATGCTGCACGATTCGTCAGGCAAAACGCAGCACGGTATGGGGTTCCTTTGGTTGCGAAGTCCTTTGCCGTGTTCGGGCTGGTGATGAAAGCTAGGACCACCCCGCGCCTTGTACGCGTGAAATTAGGGTAATCTATTCTTTTCTCATCAAAGGAGCTTATTGCAAATGTACTAGCACTTAGCTGATGATGGCTTGATGCCAAGATTCGATGAGTATGCCAATTTTGCGCACGAAAAAGCCCATAAATCGCTTCGAAACGGTGCGCGACAGCTAGTAGTAGCATATTTGAAATCAGCGTTTGAAGCTGATTTAGAATGCATATGTCACTTGCTAAAAGGCTGAGCTAAGTTAGCTAGCTTTCCTCATTAGTTCAAACCCAGAAAACTTCTCGCGAATTACTGGCAGCAATCAAACTTATGGCGTGCTATTGCCGCGCACTGTCTCGAAGCGAGTTATGCTACCCTATTTTCAGGTGTATAAGCCGCACTTTTTCAAATTTTCCCACGAGCTGCTCGGTCGCTTTATTGTGTTTCGAGAAGCGATCTTTATGCCGCACGATTCTTTCAGGCAATACGCAGCACCGTGTAGGGTCCTTTGGTTGCGAGGTCCTTTGACGTGTTCGGGCTGGTCGATGTAAGCTAGGACCACCCCGCGGCTTATACACCTGAAAATAGGGTAAAACGTTCTGGAGGAGCATGTTCAAAGAATGTGCTCCTCTATCTGTTGAACTGTCTTAGTTTTTATTTTAGGTCACCCTTGACTACTGTACCGATTAATGCGAATTGCACAAAGGTAGAAGAAAGCATATTCTGTAACTTTCGCAAACGCGATTTAATTTAATTTACTGCAGGTCAGTTTTTTTAGCCAGCCTACATGCTTCATTTACCCGCGGACCACGGCATTTTTCCTGCCACTCATCCAGGTATGACAGCAATTTGAAACTGAAAAATATTCTGAATAATATTAAGGTTAGAAATACTATATGAATCTTCTGCCGATGCTTGGCGTAGGTAGAAACGACTATGATAATGACTGTGACACCTCAAGACATTTTGCTATCGAAGATTGAGTGCTTCAAAGTGTCTTTTGAGCAGCTTTTGTATTGCCAAATTTTGTATATGGTTATTCATTGTCCATACAATAGGAGCGAAGAATTGGGTTTCAAAAACGTTCAAATATCGCATACACTGCGGAACTGCAGATAAGACAGGCTAAATACGGCCATTAATTATGTGATTTGTTGCAGAGTTCAAGGTGGAAGTTTGACACTATCTTAGCGAGGACGTGTAATGTATACATATATGCTAATTCAAAGTAATCAATTGTTGAATAATTATCAGACTCAAACCATTTTTTTGCGAACCCCACACAAGCAGACGTCCATGCGGGGGGGGGGGGTTGAGTGCCAAGCGAAGCCCGAGCATTACCGGGCGCTGTTGCAGCGCACGTACGCAAGCGCCGAGTCAAAGTGTGAGCCTCATGAACATAAAGTCAGGGATAATTACAGATGCAGCAAACAATTGTTCGCAAAGTCCACATTTTGGCTAAGATTCCGCTAACAATGATCGTTGCCTAGACAATGATTTCTGAAACTTTTATTTGAAAGCCTACGGATTTAAACCGAGGGATAATGTGTCAGCTGTCCACTGTTATTCAAAAGAAACAGAAAGCGCAGAATTATATTCTAAAAGTTACTTGAATCTTGCGTTTACATCCCCTTAAGTTTGAAGTCTGAAGCCGGCCAGATCGCCCTTTTAGGATTCTATTATCGAATCTTTTAAAGTTGCTTAGTACAGGACTGTACTCCGCAATTTCGATGTTCTTTGCCTTTTAAACTTAGCGATTTCCTATCAATACCTGAGCGCTTTGGGAGCGACTGGCTCCAGGAGTGCAAATGAGTCAAGGCATCACTTTTAGCGGTCTTGGTTGATCGGCTCCGACAGCCATTCCTTGCTCAAGCGACAAATTTTTGAGTCTTCTATAGTCTGCGCTTAAGTATGCAACAAAAAATTTTTAATGTTAAGGGGTTTTACGTAAATTCTTGAACTACAAAAGACTCAGATTTGGTGCGTTTAGAAGATGAGAGCATATTCCGCAAAAGCAGTGCCACAAATATTCTATGCCACTGCCTCTTAAAAATCATTCGTCTGTTTTCATTTGCTATCTCATCCATTCTTCTAGCGTGCGGAAAACCTAGTCTTCATTAAATGGAAATGAGCCAGAAATTACAGATCATAATCTGGTATTTCCACATGACGCTGAAATCAATTTTGACAAGACCATGTTACTCTTACTCACAAGGGAATGGTCAGAAGTCGAAGAGGCAAAAACAAACATGCTGTAAATCATTCGATGCAGTATAAAACGCTGACTTCGAATCTGCCTTCCTTATCTGCTTATCGCTTTTGTGGACGAAGCTACAAGCAGTACTATCGTGAAAAAATCATACATAAAAACAGCAATATTAAGCACATTTTTGCACTTTTAGCTCAGCTTTAGGCTTCATGAATATCAAGTAAGTTAGCTGCATGTTTGGTCCAGCATTAAGCCAATTATGGTTCTGTACGGCTAAATTTTCATTTTCACACACGATTTCTTAGCAAAATAATGGTTTAAATGGCTCATAGCTTCGTCCAGAAAAGCGATAAGCAGATAAAGAATACAGATTTAGAGTCCGCTTCATGCTGCATCTAATGGTGTGCAGCTTGTCTGGATAGACCACTTCGATTCCTGACCATTCTCCTGTCAGCAACAGAATGCATTTGCCAGCAGAAATTTTTCAGTCTATATACTGAAAACGTTGAGTTATAAAGGCAACTTTTGAATCTGTTATGAAAAGACGTTATAGATGACTGCAGGGAATCGTCCAGTTTGAACGTCCGTAAGCAGTCTCTTGCGGGCTAATATTGACATTCGCGCGCATGAGTCACCATAGCACCTATACTTAGCAGCCGCGTTGCGGGCACACTCGCGGGCATTCAGCTCACAGCGATATGGGCGATTTCGTGCGGTTGACTTTATTTTATGCGAAATTGTGCCAATCATGTTTGAGTTTAACAAGAGTATGTGCATATTTAGGGATGTACAAGTATATTCCAACGGATATCGATGCCATCAAGAAGAAGTCAGCCATGGTTCATAATGCTGGTTTCGCTTTCATCGTCAGAACAGCTGAAGCCATGGACCTGCTAAAATGGTGCCTTTAAACAGCTAAACAACTTCTACGCATAGTTTCCTTTAGGTATGCTTTATGCGCTCTCGAGGATGAGTGCATGGCACCTCATGGAGCTAAGCGAAGGTGCAACTTCAAAAACGACCGCTTCAACAGATACGCTGACTGTCACAGGTACTTATCTATTATATTTTCCGTAAAAAGTGCTCGTTGTACTCTTTTGGGCCAACAAAGCATACTCATGTATTTTGACAGACATTAATGGCGCTAGACGGTGCAGCACGTAATTCGTTTTTTGGGTTGTTAAAAAAATAGTAGCGCTTTTAGTGCTACCGCGAAAGGGTTAAGACCAAAAAGGAGTATGGTACCGCTCGAGAGCAAAGCTAGCCATTACAGAGAAGTCACAAACATTTGCAAACTTAAGACTGATCTACCAAACCTTTGAAGCCAAAATTTAAAGACACTTGTGGTAGTACTTCAAAACTCTAAACTCAGTCCAGATAATTTCTACAAACTTCAAATCTGGTCCTGCATGTTCTGTAAGCCATAGGAATGCATTTGTACACTTGCTGTAATTTCTGTAGACTGCTAAATTCGGGTTCTTTTCACACGCGTTGTTGGAGATGCATCAAAAGAACAATTATAGCATTTTTAGGTACTTTTCCGTTATCCGGACTCATTTTTTCAAGAATTGATACTGCTTCTTTTCTTGTTCCAAATTCGGACAAAACCTCACAGAAAAGAGCGTCAACCTCTTGCCACGTGCCAAGAAAAACTGAAATATTACTTACCTGTTCAACAGGTTGTATGAAAAGTTTGTTTAGCTTACCTACCGGTATGACTCAATCCCTTTTCAATCAAAAATGACCCTATTTTTATCTCCAACATTTTAAAAAATGAACATTAGCATTGTAAGAGTAACATGCGATGTTCAACGAACACAGTATAACTTCTTAAAATAGAAAGATGGGCGACTGTTCCATCACTGAAGCAGCGAAACAAGCTACAGCTAGGTGCTTCAAGCTATCTCTATACTCTTTGCTGGCTAAATTCGCATGTCGGAAAATTCTAAAAAGGAAGACACTATTGAATCATTGCTGAATGCGTCCAAGATGTTCCAATATACGTTTTCAATCGTCGCGCTTTCACAAGTAACCGCTTTACATCTTTCATCATCATATGAATCATTTTCAATGCTCTGGTACCTCACCGGAAATAATTTCGAAGAAAAAAAACATGTCAAACTGGGAATAAACGTGTCAAATTTTACCGTGGCACGTGGAAGGGAGTCAACCTACATAGGATCTATGAGAAAATTTCTAGGCTAGAGTAAGTATTCCGTGAGAACATCGTAAAAAATGGGTCCGGATAACGGAAAAGAATCCATTTTTATATATACATGCTCTGCTTATTAAAAAAAACATAACATGAAAACCTCAAAAAGTGGCGACCCATGTGATTAGCGCGCTTTCAATTTTTCAGTTCCAGTCTCAGAAATTTAGGAATTAGATGCAAATGTTAGTATTTGTCTACAACATAGTTAGGTGGGAGGCTGGTGGAATTTGATTTGTAACGTTTGAATAGTTGTAGATTTGCTTCCAAAATTCAATGAATTACAGATGCGATTGCTTTTTATCACTATCCTACCGAATTTCCTTCTAACTTTTAAAAGAGCTTCAAACACTGTCGGATATAGTAGACAAAATGCTAGGCATTGAAACTTTTTGGGCTTATTTACTAACTTGCAAGTATTTTTAGAAGAATTTTTCCTTAAGATTCGCTTCTGCGATGTCGTAGCGTACACAATCGCTCAAAACACGACTGGAAATTAGAATTTGAAACTTCAAAGGTCGGTTATGATCAAACTTTTATCTAAAAATTTTTTAATTTACCGCTTTGAAATCAATTTTGAATTTTTCGAGCGACAGCTTAGCGTTTAGGAACTGGAATTACGATGGTTTTCTCTTCGATTCGTCTACGAATCAGGGAATAACTTGTGCTAAAAAGGGAAGAACAATTTGCATTGAATGTCATTTTGGTTGCCCGTTGTTTGATGTTCTATGCGGTTTGGGATGACCAAACATGAATTTGATAGGAAAAAATCATCTTAAAAATTCTGAGATTTCAGCTACAAATATCAGAATGTACTGTCTTGTATTTTCTTTACTTCATCCTATAGCGATTGAAGCTTTTTGAATAAGGCAGTCAAAAATGTTGATTGAAGTTCTGACGATTATTCAAGCAGTCGTCAGCACAAAAACAGAGCACCACTGCTGAAAATAGCAAGAAATTCTGCACCGAATACTGTTTAGACCGTTTGTCTATCTTTAATATGAAGATTTTGGGATAGATCTCAAAATTGCACGACTTTTAAACATACAACATTTGTCTTGCTGCCTGAGGAAGTATGTTCGGTCGGAATCTAGAGAAATGTTAAGTACAGTAACTTACAAAAAGAGGACACCCAGTCCAAAGCACCAATTCAAATGAAACATATATCATCTTAAAGCGCTTGAAACGCTGATTCCAAATCTATAGTTTCTAGCTGCGGAACGGTTTTGTAGAAGGAGGTATGAGGGGTGTTTCCTTCTGGGGTTGAGGCGCCCTCCAGCAGGTCTCCCCTTATCTATGAGCACTGTAAAAGAAGCCAACTGGTGGCAACGGCCTAATGGTAAGTGACTTGCTTGATAGGGAAAGTGTCAAGATATTATTTCCTTCGCATGCAACTTTATAGCAATTTTCGCAATATTGAACTTCTAAATGGCTTTGGAGCCTTAAAACCTGACATTTCTGATGATATTGATGCTAATCGAAGTTAAAAGTGCTAAAAAAACTAAAGTAATATGAGTATTATAATCCTTATTGTAATCTTCATTCAGATTACTTATCTTTACACCATTTTGTGTTTCTATAATGCTCATAGACAACGGCCGATATCTGAAGAGCGTCTTAACCTTAGAGGCAAACGCCTCTCATAACTCTTTCTACAGAACCGTTGCGCAGCTAGAAACTATAGATTTGGAATCAGCGTTTCAAGCGCTTTCAGATGGTGTATGTCTCCTTTGGATTGGTGCTTTCGACTAGGTATCCTCTCCTAGTCAGAGGGAAGACGTCATACACGACCACGGGCTTGAAGATCTCAAATAAGGCTGTGGCTAATTCAATAACGAAAACCCAACAAACGACCATGACCGTGAAATAAACTTGAAAGATGTTTGAAATTAATAAAAAATGTTTAAATAGTGAAACGAGAGGAATCGAGAAGAATTTCGAATGCAACTCATCTCAAATAGTGATATGAACGCCAGTGTAAAACAATGCCACATGTTCTCAAAATCTACCGGCAAGCAAGGATTTCAAAAGCAAGCGGAAGAGGTTATATACAATATAATTCACGTAAAAAGCTTCGGAATGTCACCAATTTGAAAGTAATCTTCCAAATTTACCCTACACTACAATATCTTCTCGGTCTTCGCAGTACGTGTACAGCAAGGGGGCCCTTTGTGACAAAAAATGCGTTGTGAAAGCGAAACAATTGGTAAGAACAATAGAAAGGAAGCAAACCGTAATTAAGAGTGATCGCTAACAAGGAAAGTCACTTAACTTGAATTGGCCTCTTGAAATGAGGCAATATATTTGGAATCAGCTCCGAACGCTGACTTTAAATATGCTGTCTTTACCGCGAAGCATTTTTCTGAAGCGAGTTATGAGTTTCCAGCATGTGTCATTGACACACAACGGAATATTAAAAAAAGACTTGTAGACGGAATCTGCACAAAAACATGGTGGAAAATCAAAATAACATCAAATTGCGTCATTTGGCCTTGATAAGGTGTATTATGCATTTGAACCACTACTTAGATGATGTTATCGTAGCATCCGTAAGTCGATCAACACGCAAGCTTTGCTCAGGAAAAAGCTCATAACTCGCTCAGAGTAATGCTTTGCAGCTATGGATAGCAGATTTGAAACTAGCGTTTTGAGCTGATTCTGATTATGGGTGTCGCTTTTCAGAAGGCCGACCTAAGTTAGGTGACTTTCCCTGTAAGATGGTGCAGACTCTTTTTTGCAAGAATGGAGTAGAAAAGTGTTAAATAATTCTATCGAAACCACAATGTTAACAAACGATAAGTTTTTGTAACACAGCATGCTATCTCCATTACTTTATCTAATAAGAAAACAATATTGTTAACTTGCTGTTTAGTTCATACTTTAGTTCAGAATACAAGAATAAAAAACAATCATGTTAACCTGCTAATTGCTAAATTTGATGATTTTGTATGAGCGTTTAAAGTGAGAGACCGTCAGGAGATGATCAAGGTTACCACGTTATAAGCATGGTCAAACCATCACATTATATTATGGTCTCGACCATATACCGCTTCAGAAGTATCATATCACGAGCGTGGGACAAAAACGAAAGACGCGCTGAGACACGTTACGTAGAAAAACAGGGTATCCAAACAATAAATAAAAAGAGAAAGCGAAATCTCAAAAACTCCTTCCACTGTGACGCATATACAGGGTGTCCCAAAAAAATGTTAACACTGTTTAATCGTTAATAACTCTCGTGCTTTCATGTCTTTCGCCGAGCTTGAAACACCATTGTGTAGAGCGAGGATCAACTTAGATTCATAGTATGGAGCGAAACACCGTTTGCTCTTCGTTACTGTAGGATTACGGTAGGAATTTCGACAAGGATTTTAGGCCGTCAAAGGTCATTTTCTGCCTCGAAACAGAGCCAAACAAGCCAAAATCTTTTGTACTATGGTAATGGAAGCTGCTGATTCCGAATATGAAATTCTTACTTTACTATGATGCTTCTTTTCAAAGTTATCCTAGGTAAGCTGTAATAACTGACTTCCCAGCATGTGTCAAAAATGTGGTTACCCCGTTAAAAAGCCGAAAACACTCGTAGAAAGTTGTGTAGTGGAATCAGCGTGCGCGAAAACCCTAGTGTACAATTTTTCGGATTTTTTGAAAAAAATTTTGTCAGATGGCATATTTCACAACGGTTCCACATGCTGGAAGTTCTTACCGTAATCCTACAGTAACGAAGATCAAACGGTGTTTCGCTCCATACGACAAATCTAAGTTGATCCTCGCTCTACACAATGGTGCCTCAAGCTTGGCGAAAGACATGAAAGCAAGGGAGCTACTAATGATCAAACAGTGTCTACATTTTTTTGGGACACCCTGTACACACCACCTTTATCTGCGCGAATAATTCGTGTGTTGACTAGAATTTCTGAAAAGAGCAAGGTGGAAACTTGAAACTGGTTTCGAATATGCTGCCCTTTTCTATGATCAACCTCTTTTTTGTATATCAACAGGTCAGGAAAATTGGACGCACGCGCGGCTAGTAAAGCGGCAAGCGTCTAAGTTTACTATATGGTTTGGGATCTGACTCAGCTTGCTGAAAGTGTTTTGCAAATTTCCTTTCACAAAGCTAGTCATGGTATTTACTTCACTACCTAAAAAATTCCTCTAATCTCTAAACTTCAGTGATTAATGTCCAACAACATTGTAATGGTACTGAGTGCTACAAGTTTAGCTTCATTTGCTGTGTTGCTGCAACAAACATATTCACTTTGATCATTTTGTCGTCATCTATAATCTTATTGTTGTAAATTGTCGAGTGTGCTTGAATAAACAGAAGCTTGAGGGAGAAATAGGGAATCAAGCGTTCGAATTACCAATTCGCGGTCAAAATCAATTTCGTTTTCTAGTACAGTTAACAACAGTAGACATATTGAAGAAAAAAAACAAAAGCGCTTTCTAAACCTTCAACACCCTTAATATGATACCAGCCGTCCATAGAGTGCTTATCTAATTTCCCCCAGACTCGTCGATGGGCGCGACATATAGGGAGTATAACTCGCTTCAGATTGATGCGCCGTAGCTAGAAACAAAATTTTTGAAGTTTTTTTGAATTCCGAAAATATATGCAGTGTGTCCCAAAAAATATGCCTGCTGTTTTATTGTTGGTAACTAAATAAATAAAACATTCTAAACAGTGTAACCGCGCTTTTTAGGAACATTGAAAAAAAAGCGCTAATGCTTTAGTCGCATAAGTTTTTGATGAAGCATCATGATGAGTTTCGAGCTTCACATTTACAATTAGCAACTCTAGCTATTAGCTCAGTGTGAAAGTTTTTAAACTGTTTTTTTCTGAGGCAAAAGATGGTCTTTCATAGCTCAAAAGCTTCATTTAGGTTTCAGCCATTGTCCTACAGTATGAAGAGACGGTTCTATACTGTAAATTGATGTTGAAGCTAGCTTTACAAAACAGCATCTGAAACTTCTCGAAAGACTTCGTTACAAGAGAGTTATTAACAATCAAACAGTAGGCACATTTTTTGGGAAACCCTGTAATTGTTTGCGTCTGTTTGAGGCCAGACCAAGTTTCTTTCCATATGGAATATGACAGTATTACCTGCATAAACAAAAAATCTCGAAAACATATGATGTTATGATTTTTACGCATTTCTAGGAGCTTCAGAAATCGGATACTTGCGGAAGATGTGCTTGTACTTGATTATAAATATGATAGAAGCAGGCCTAAATGGAGCGGTAAAAATTATACTTTGATGCTTATAAACTGTGAACAAGCAGTATACTGCAATAGCAGTGGCGGTCCGAGGGGGGGAGGGCGCCCCCCACCCGAGAACGGGTCGCGAATTTTTTGAAAATTACTCATATGGGTTATAAAAATGCACAAGTGACTTGTTTATTTTTGTAAACAATCAGAATAATTTTTAAAAATTTTCAAAATTTCAAATTAGTCTTGTAAAAAATTTTTTTCGGGGGCGTGGCTGACGCCACGCACCTTCATTAAAAAAAATTTTTTTGCCCCCCCTTGGTCCAAAATCCTGGGACCGCCATTGTGCAATAGATATGGTTAAGGTTACTCACACTGTACCAAATATGTAGCCTACAGATAAGAATGCGTAAAAATCTTCTTCGTCACAATGTTACGCTTACTATTTAAACAAAGTCGAGTTCGAGAACTAATGTACTCATTGCAAGTCCGAGAGTAAACGTCAACTCTCAAGCTGCGGTGATAAAATCGCCCAATATACAAAAGTTATTCTGAGACCCGTGTTCATTTTGCACCTAGAAAATTTTCGCTAACCGCCATTTCACAGAAATTTAATTTGTTTGTAGGTACGACCAATCAGCCATCAATCTGCTTCTGGCTAACTCATATGGTTACGACATCGCAAATTACATAAGCAACATCGGAAATGGGGCAACGATCGTGCGCAAAGCTGCACGCGGCCTCACCGAAGCAAACTTTTCATGCACGGAGCAGGTCACTCACACATAAGATACTGTGAGCAGTTTCAATTATGGAGAGCAACAAAGTTGTTTTAGGAACCTGATGGTCATATCTGTATTATGTAGCATTCCAGGCAGTTTAGGATTACCGACTGGAGGAGTTGGGCAGATGTGAAGGTGGAAAGAGTAGCGAAACACGATAAGCCCACCCAGAGCGAACTTTTGCTCAAGATCCATTGACACTTCTGCTCCTGGAAAGAAAAATATTTGAATGGGTCTGCCTACGGACATGCCAGTTTTGCTCTACGTTCATGTTTCACGGATAATGCCTGTAATTGTATGCCAATTTTGCTCTACCTCCATGTTTGCCTGAAAATCTTCATCTCGCCTAATTCGGAGCTCAGTACAGCAACATTTGCGTTTTTGTTGAAAAAATTTTTTGTTGTTTTTTATTTATTGAAACGGTACTTTTGTCCTCAGAAGATCAGAATCACGTGCAGGAGAACTACATGACACTTGGAACCTACGTTTTATGATACAGTGCTGGCCATAATTATAAAGACACTTTAGAAATCGTCGTAGTTTTCGTTCTTGCGAATGAATCTGTCTGAAACTTTGCTGTATTGTGCACATGTCAACCACCCATGAATCTTCAAAACGGCTTTCAGTCTTGTTGAGTTTGAACGGAGAAAAACGAAAAAATTCTAAAAATCCCTTAATGAAAGGTGGGCAGAATTATAAAAACACCTGGTTTTCTAATCACTATCGCATTCGTTGACTCTCAATTTTTTTGTACAATTACATCTTAAAACAAGAAACATTTGCAACACCTACGGTCTGCCATCCTACTTAAATAGAAGTGGTCACTGCATTTTTTGCTTTCAAAATCATCAAAAGTCAATCAGCTTCAACAAGAAGTGGTTTAAGGAGTTTTCAAGCTCTTGTTTATCTCAAATAATAGTCATAACATTTACTGAGCATTTTCGATAGATGAGGTGAGGAGCGCTTCCATAAACTCTGCGTAATCGCTGATATTGACGGACAGACTCTAACCTCACCATAGGGTTGACGCACTTTTGCACCACAAAACCAAGCAACAGAAAATACTGTAATGTAGCCATTACGACAGCCATACAACAGTGAACTTGTGCGCATGGCTAAAAAAATTTCGGAATTGAGCACTTGATTCAGCCGCAGTTGACATCCACTGAATGTTGAGTGGAGGACCCTGCACGATCAAAGCCAGCTCAGATCACATGATAAAGCAGGAGACGCTTAAAACTGCAAAATCTTAGCTAAATCTCGTTTATCGGGTGAAATATGATATGAAACACAAAGGAAAATAAGGAGATCTAGGCTTTTATCGAATCTTCTACTCGCAGGGAATTTTCGTGTAAAATTCTTCAGATCTAATCGCAACTGCATCACTAGGGAAAATCAAAAGTTATTGCAAAAGCTGCATCACCATGTTGGCAATGTGAACAATCACATTCAGCGCTTTACGAACATTGCAAACAGAGTTCTGTGGAGCAAAGCGTGACAACCCCATGGTGAAGTTGGGGTCTGTCCGTCAATATCAACGATTACGCAGAGTTTATGGAAGCGCTCTTCACCTCGTCTATCGAATATGCTCAGTAGGTATTATGAGTATCATTTGAGTTGAACAAGAGCTTGAAAACTCCTTAAACCAGGTTCTTGATAATGCAGATTGACTTTGATGATTTTCAAAGTAAAAAAATGCAGTGATCGCTTCTATTTTAGTAAGATAACAGGCCGTAGGTGCTGCAATTGTTTTATATTTTGAGGTTAATTGTACAAAAAAATTTGAGAGTCAATGAATGCGATAGTGATTAGAAACGCTTTCCTTAAGGGCTCTTTCGAATTTTTTCGTTTTTCTCCATTCAAACTCAACAAGACTGGAAGCCGTTTTGAGAATTCATGGTAGGTTAAGATGTGCACAATACAGCAAAGTTTCAGACAGATTCATTGACAAGAACGAAAATTACGACGATTTCTAGAGTGTCTTTATAATCATGGCCAGCACTGTATGTAAATTTACAACGAGGCTTATCCATAACTTGAGTCTGATTCACCAAAAACAGACCAAATGACACTAAGGCAGCTAAAATACTTAGTTGAAGCACTGATTTGTTTTATAGTACTGCTTGATATCGCTGAGCATCATCCTCTCATTCTTGTAGATGTCTCGGCACAGTTCACACAATGCTTTGGTTCTGTAACTGTTCGGCTTCCGGAAATGTCTTGTCCATTCAAAGTACCTTAAAATGCAAACATTGGAGTCGGTTAATTTCTCTGTAAGCGTTCATAAGCGCTATTCAGCTGCTGCATAAGATGCATGGCGCATTGAGCAAAAAGTTCTCGATATTAGCCTCTGCTAACACCATATTTCTTCAATCCCTTCCCCCTTCCTTGATTCCACTCCCCTCGGACGACGGTAATAGCTCTCTTTATAATGGAGTTGACAGCTCGATAAGATGGAAATTTTTATACAACAAATTGGCAACCATACGGGACTAGAAGGTATATGAACATATCAAAGAAAGGAGAAAAGCTTTACTCATCAAGCAGATTCTATTCAACCATAGCATATTCAGATTTAGCTAACCCATTACTGAGAACTGACGAAAATGTTTGTTAATGATGTCAAATTTTTTAACTTCTTTGTACTGCAATTATCCACTTCCACTTTTTCTTAAACTCGCGCTACTAAAATCGTAGGTGCGCCGGAAATAAAGTCGGATGTTAATATATGGCAATACATAATCTGCGTCGACTTGTAACTCTGATAATAAGATCGATTCTTTAGAGACATTTGATAAGCTTCTGGAACATATTGCGTAATGTTTTAAGACCTTTATGAATTCATTTCAATGGTTTCTTAATGTGTTTCAAACGCTTTGTCATAATTTTATCCAGCTTTAGCTCAACAGTAATATGAGACAACTAGTGACTTAATTAGTTATCTACATTCCTGAACGTTCGCTTCGGATTCTGACTTTTGAAATATTCCCTTTTTGCTGTCGTCTTTCAAAAATAGTTTTGCGCCTTCAAGCATCGTTTCCTTTTCTCTCTAGTGCTCTTTCGTACTGGCCACCTACCTGATCAAACTCTCTTTCACTCTCTATTCGTACCCATTTTAAACGCAAAATTTTAGGTTGCTAATTAAGTTTTGCAACTCCATAACTTGTCGCTTTTTGCATGTGGTACATCCAAACTTTGCAGTGTTCTAGTGCAGATTATGATGTGAGCTGCAAATACAGCAGTTAGTTCCCAAATTTTAGCCAAACTTGTAAGGGGTATGTTAAGTGTACGGTAAAAAAAATTATGCATTCCAGATCGTTACAGTTTCAGCTGAACCTCGGTGTAGAGGAGTTTTTCGATACGTTCAATTACAAGAGTCATGCTCACATTCGCACATCACTGTCTTTTCGGTAAGGTGACAAAAAAATTGAGTTCAAAGGCGAGTGAGTATGTCGTGTTCAACATTAGAATTACTCTAAAACGCAAAGTTTCGGCGAATTTTGAGACTTCACTCACTAGTTATTGACGAACGTTGGCCTGAATTCTGCGCTCAGCTGCGTTGTTTATGCCCGAGGACGCCAGATTTCGAATAGTTTACATTTCCAACTACTATTATTTTTTACAGCACTCAATGAGTCAAATTCTGACTATAATTTTGAATGGTTCTGGGTTGATATGTTTGCGTTGCGCAGAAAAAGGGTTCTCTTTGCTTGTAATCCAATGAAATTTGAAATTTCAGAATTTTTGGAAAAATACTTAAATTTTCTCCATTTCGTTTGCTCACTTGTAGCTCACCTTGCAACTTACATAATACTGAGGAGCACTCTAGGTTCAAAGAGAGATTGGTTATAGAGAAAGTTGCAAAACTTAGCTAACAGCCTGATAAAATGATACTCTTTTTAGCAATCGCCCAAAAAACTGTTTGCGATAGAAGCTTTTTTCTCTCCTACTAGTCTTGAATACCATTCAAGATTATTTGTGAAACGGCGCTCTTGTGGTACAAGTATTGTGCACCGCTTATAATCTTTTTGAGAAAGTTGTTAAGCAAGCTAACCGAAGGTATGCAGTATCGTTTATACGCAAAAAATTTAGATAGTTTCCTAAATCCTCGAGCGACTTGAAATCGTCTGCTGCTATAAACGATTGCGAAGGAATGCCTGCGGCTAAAAAAGTTCTTATTGAATACAGTGTACTTCTCCTATATTAATCACTCACCTTCGTAAATTCGTCTCTTTCGCACAACAGGCAAAAGTAATTGTGATATCCGCGAAAAGTATTTTTCCGTAATGTAATCGTTGCAGTCAGCATTTTCAAACGAAATATAGAATCGATGTGTTGCTGAAATATGTGCAGAATTTATATCGATTCAGGGCTAGGTGAGACCTACTATTTGTAAAAGATTATTGAAAAGACATTTACCAGACAACTCGAATGCTTAATTTAACTTCAAAGCTCCGACGACAACCTAGCATACACAAATCTTCGCTAATTAGAGCTCGCAGCCACGGCTATTGAAAAAATGTTAGGACAGGGCAAAAATCTTTTCGTAATTTGGGAAAATTCAATAATCTTCTGAAAATTTAATCTAAGTCATGTTTTTGATTTCAAATATAAAAAAAGACTTCTGCTTTAAGACATTTTTCAACGGCAGCTATTTTTGGCAGCCCTGCCGAAACGAGCTTCCAAAAGCCGCTCTTCAAATTTTGTGAATTTGAGATTGATTTCAAAAATACTGCCTACATTCGAATAAATTTTCCGTTTAATACAGTGTGCTTGCACAGTTTACGAAATGCGGTAAAATTTGCGCGTGAACAGGTAGCTGCGCCAGCACTGCCGGCATTTTGGGCCCGCAATTGGCCGGGTCAAGGTCGAAGCTAATTCCTCACGCGCAAATTTTACCGCATTTCACCCCTAGACTGTTCTATATATTTCTGTGAAAGCATGTACAAAGCGCAAGCACCGGTCGTATTTAACGTATTTCGGCATCATGGAGTTCTTTACTTTTTCCCACATATACTCTAAGCAGCAAATTCAAGAGGTTTGTCATTGAAGAAAATTTCTGCACAAGGCCTCGGACAGAGTCACGCTATTTGATCGTCGCGATTCAATCGCTACAAGACAAGTGTAACAATACAGTGCTGGCCAAAATTATAGGTCCACTCTAAAAAATGCCATAACTCATCACTCTGTTGTGAATCAAATTTTCCAAAATTTGGTACAGACGTGGGTTCACCAGCCTACTATCAGTCTTCAAAACGATTCTCGTCTTCGTTTGATCATTCAAGAAAAAATTAGAAATTTTGGAAAAAGCAGGCTTGAAGGCTGGCCAAAATTATAGGTCCACCTGGAGTTTTTACTGATTAAAGCACTTCTTAGCTCCCGAATTTTTTTAGGTAGGCACACATCCAAAAACGTTAAACAGCTGCATTGGTCAAGCTGTGTCATACCTCCAAAAAGAATTGATTATCTGCTTTTTTGCCTTGAAAATGCTTTCACATGTATTTCGCTCCACAAACATGCGTTAAGTGAGATATTCTGCAGTTTCTCGGCTGGATCGGAAGGGACGGGGTTTCATCTATCTTCTGGATGCTTTTTGACGTGAGCGTTGAGAAAAAATCCGACTTTTTGCTGCTGAAGCAAATGTGACATTGACAGAACTGCAATCCTGAGCTCAAATTTCTTTCTTCAAACTTCTTTTACAATGTCCTCAGAAGCATTGAGTAAAGTAAAGGCATTGTTTCTATGAAAGGGAGTCCGTATACCATAGTTACAACTTTCTAGAAATCCTAGCATTCGAGTATAATTACTGAAATCACTCTGCAGAAACTGATTACGACAAGCACCAAAGCTACTTGTGGCTCCGACCAAAATTTTCGGAAGAATCATGTGCTAACATACACTACAAGCTGTATCCACTATCTAGTAAATAATTACTGTCAAAAATCTAATTGAGTTAGCACTTAGAAAGCTATTTTGGATCGCGTAACACCATTATTAGGTTGCACACACAACTCATGTTTCGAAAAAGAAGCAAGGCAGCTTTGTGGACACTTGCGAGTATGGCGAACAGCTTTATTCTTGTGTAGAAAATGCTTCTACAATATCTTGAGGCTATAATGACAATGCATAAAGGGTTTTAGGGCAGAAACTGAGGCTTACTCTGCCGATTAAGCCGATGTCAGATTTGCTTCAGCAGCAAAAAGTCGGATTTTTTCCTCAATGCTCACGTCAAAAAGCATCCAGAAGATAGATGAAACCCCGTCCCTTCAGATCCAGCTGAGAAACTGCAGAATTTCTTACTCAACGCAGGTTTGTGGAGCATACATGTGAGTGCATCTTCAAGGCAAAAAAGCAGGTAATCAATTCTTTTTGGAGGTATGACACAGCTTGACCAATGCAGCTGTTTAACGTTTTTGGATGTGTGCCTACCTAAAAAAAATTTGGGAGCTAAGAAGTGCTTTAATCAGTAAAAACTCCAGGTGGACCTATAATTTTGGCCAGCCTTCAAGCCTGCTTTTTTCAAAATTTCTAATTTTTTCTTGAATAATCAAGCGAAAACGATAACCGTTTTGAAGAATGATAGTAGGCTGGTAAACACACGTCTGTACTATACTTGGGTAATTCGAGAATTTTTCATCGAATGAATGAATATCGAATAAATTCGAAAAGGAAAAATCTCGAATAAACGAATATCGAATAAATTCGGAAAATCAAAAATATCGAATGAATGAATTTCGAATAAATTAGGAAAATCAAAAATATCGAATGAATAAATTTCGAATAAATTCGAAAAATCAAAAATATCGAATGAATGAATATCGAATATATTCGAACATTGGAAGTCGAATTTCGAATAAATATTCGAATGATTTATCGAATAACTAAAGCAATCACATCTCAAACTTGCCGACATATCTGGCTAGAGCCGATCCAATCATAATCAGCCCCCTAGATCCCCTATACCAACTCCTTGCTCAAAAGTTTCCAAAAATTATTAAAATCGATAAAATAGATTTCGGTTTTAATCAGAATCCTCATTTACCCCGTGAACCAACTCCCAAGCTCGTAGCTCGAGATTTTCCAAAAATCGATAAAATTTATAAAGTAAATTTTTATCCATAATCAGCACCCTCACTTAACCTCTTGTAACAACTTTCAGCCCCGCAGCTCAAACTTCCCCAGAAATCGATAAAGTCGGTCGGTCGGCATCTAGTCTATACATCAGCAAAAAACCATATTTTACCCATTATGGACGATCTAAAAACACTCGATATAAATTTTTATGCTGTGCCCAAAAGATTCTTCTTCAGATGGTCCGAATGAGACTGATGTACACCAGAATCAACTTTATTTCTTATCAGCATCAACAATGTAAAAGCAAAAAGCTTGCTCTACTTTCCACATCAATTAAACACATATGATTTTTTTTACTGTCGCAAGCACTCGGAAGAATGCAACTCTCCATACAGTTCAAAGGTATAACGGTTGCAAAAGATGTATTACCCAGTTTTGCGAAAAAACGCGTACGAATTGAGCTTGATACTCAGCAGTTGGCTTTGCAACAAAGTCGAATAATCTGAATACGGAGTCATTCGAATACGAATTCGAATAAACATTCGAATAAAACATTCGAATAAAATCTATTCGAAACCTCGTTTTTTGATTATTCGAGTTTTCGAATAAATATTCGAAACCTCGTTTTTTGATTATTCGAGTTTTCGAATTTTATTCGAAACCCTGTTTTTTGATTATTCGAGTTTCGAATATTATTCGAAAATGGAAGAACTCCGAATATCGAATTTCGAATACGAATATATTCGAATGTTTTATTCGAATGATCGAATTTCTATTCGATTCGGACCCAAGTATAGTCTGTACCAAATTTTGGAAAATTTCATTCGCAATAGAGTGAGTTATGGCATTTTTTAGAGTGGACCTATAATTTTGGCCAGCCGATTTCTTTGCATATCAATTGTGGTAGTTTTTAACAAGACTAATCGTGACTAACTATCACAACCAAAATACAAGAAGATCGGCATGCCATGAACCCGTAACACTTGTCTTATAGCGGTTGAATCGCGACCCGAGGCCTAATGCGTATTGATAAATGTCCATTATCTCATTTTGCAGTGAGATTTTAAAAATGCAGAAAATCAACGTTGCACAGTTACTGTTTTGTTACTCATTCTTGACAATCAATCTTTTGAGATACCGATAGACCAAAAAATGCATTATAATAAAGAGATGCTAAGCAGGAAATCGTCAGAAGGTAACCCAGCTATTCCAAGCAAGCTGTATATCATCGGACTTGTCTTAAAACGCTGATTTCAAACCTATGTTTTTTGTCTGCCAAGCGACTATCTGGGAGGAGTTATGAGCTTTCAAATATAATAAACTTTTCGAGTTTTAGCAAAAATATTTCTTTGAAAAGCAGGCCCGATGGCGCAAGTATACGGTGACTATAGTTATTTTTTTTACAAGAAAGAAGCACATTCACCATAAACTTGAATGTTTTTTGTTGTGTCCTTGACTCCGGACACGTCGATTCTTCGTCCTGAGGGCACAGAAGGAAGCCAATAGATTTATCAAAGAAATAATAGAAAAACAGAATAGATATGAGAGAGGCAAACTGGTGAACGAATCAACTGACAATGGCTAACAGCGAGCGCCTTTTATAGCGCTCATTTCCCGCGCAATGAGGCTGCAGGCGCCTCAGCGAGGGCAGATCATACGAGGAAACAACTGATCAGACACTAACACAACACCTCCCCCAGTAGGGTAGTTACAACAGAACTAGCCTACGACAAAAGCATGAACTATAAATATGAACAACAAGAAATCGGTCATATATAGATAGCATATTATTTAAACAACTACAAACTAATGAAACAAACATACAATAACATACTTTGAATTATATTGGAACCGTTGTACCGGTCTTCTCGTTCTGCTCGACCTGCGAAGCGTTGTCGGTGGCGTGGAGGACTCGTGGCTTGATGTCGACGTCGATGTCGTTGAATCCACGGGTGCTGGCACATCGCTCGCGATCGCTTGCTCGGATTTCTCGTCGGCTACACTGCTATTTCTCCGTAGAGTGTCGTCTTCTGTCAAAACATCTAGGAGTATCTTCAAGGCTTCGGGCTGTTGATTGAGTTGTTGTCGCACAGCGAGCTGTTCGCTATCGCTTCGATGCCGTAGCTGATTTGCATGCTTCTTGCACATCTCGTCGCCAACCATAACTTCATAATTGACACGTCCAATACGTCTCATCACGGTTCCTTTCACCCAGTGAAAGTGGGGTGGCTTCTACTGCTTAGCGTATACCAGGTCACCAACTTCAAATTCCTTTCGAACGACTCCATGCTTCTGGTCGAACTGATCCTTCATGCGCTCTCGTCTCCTTCGTGCGAGTGGGTCTTCTGCATCTTCTGTCATCGGGAGTAACAGACTTAATTTTGTGCGCAAGTTTCTGCCTAGAAACAATTCTGCTGGCGTCTTGTCGTCCAAGTTCGTGTTTGGTGTTGTCCTATACGCTTGTAACACCACATTTAGAGTCTCTTCTGTTGGCCTCTCCTCCCCCTCTAGTTTCTTGATTCCACGTTTCAGCGTATCAACGAAACGCTCTGCTTGCCCATTCGATTGAGGGTGATAAGGAGCAGTCCTTATGTGGGTGATTCCACCTTCGTCACACATCTTCTTGAACAAATCCGATGTGAACTGGGTACCATTGTCGCTCACTATTGTTTGCGGTAATCCATATCTCGCAAACAAATTCTTCAAAACCTTCACCGTCTTCGCAGCTGAGATATTGCTCATCTCGATCATTTCAGGCCATTTGCTATAGGCATCTACCACGACAAGTAGAAAACTCCTTGCATGGGTCCAGCGAAGTCGATGTGTATTCTCTGCCACACTCGAGTCGCGGACGGCCACGCTTCTAATGGTACCTTCGTCGGATTTTTGGCTAACTCCTGACATTTCGTGCATCTTCGTACCAAGTCTTCGCAATCCTTGTCGATATTCGGCCAGTAGACGTAACTTCGAGCCAGTTTCTTCATCCTTACAGTCCCTGGATGACCACTATGCAGTTCCTTCAGAACATTTCCTCGAAGCTCCTTGGGTATCACAACTCTTTCGGCTGACATCAGGCATTGCTCCACGATTGACAATGTCTCTCTTCGATTTCGAAAACGTGCCAGTTCTCCATTCATGTCTGGCCACTGCCCTTTCTTCACGTAGATCATTACTCTTTGTAGCACTGGGTCCTTCTTCGTGTAGGATTGCACATCTGATACTGTTACTGGTAGTTTCCTAATACAATTCTTCAACATGTAGTTTACGTCGTTCTCAACGACAGCTATTACGACGTCTTCTTCGGGATTCTGATTCTACTTCATCAACCGTGACAAGCCATCAGCTTGTCCGAACTTCGTAGTCTTGACATACTCTATGTCAAAATCATATCCAAGCAGTATTGTAGCCCATCTCATAAGTCGGTTAGCGGAGTAGACTGGAACTCCTTTCTTATCACCGAAGATGGCTAGCAATGGTTGATGGTGCGTCAGAATTAAAAACTTTCGTCCAAATATGTACTTGTGGAATTTCTTGACTGCAAAGACAATTCCCAACGCTTCCTTTTCGATCTGCGAAGTTCTTCTCCGCTTTCGTAAGAGATCTCGATGCGTGTGCAATTGGTTTTTCGGATCCATCCGCATATCTATGCGATATCACACAACCGATACCATAGTCGCTTGCGTCCGCTGCCACGACGATCTTCTGCCCCGGATCATAGTGAGCAAGGTTCAGCTCACTTGACAAAGTTTTCTTGAGCTTTTCGAATGCTTCTTGATGTGTTCGTGTCCATTCCCACTTCGCATCCTTCTTCAGCATTGCATCTAGCGGTCCACGAAGATTCTTGATCTTTGGCATGAACGCCGCATAGTACGTTACCATGCCAAGAAAAGCCCTCAGTTGACTAACATTCTTCGGCTCGTCCATACTCTTGATCGCTTCGATCTTCGCTAAGTTCGGTCTTCTGCCATTTCGATCCACTATGAAGCCAAGATATCGTATCTCTGGCTTACCGAAAGAACATTTCTCTAGACGAATTTTGAATCCATATTCGTCAATTCTTGCAAACACAGCCAACAGATTCTCCATGTGTTCTTCTTCTGTTCGTCCACAGACCAGGATGTCGTCCAGGTAGGTTGCTACTCCTCGCAGACCATTCACCATCTTGTTCATGATTTGCTGGAAGATCCCTGGTGCTGTCTTGATTCCAAAAGGCAATCTGTTGTACTGGTAGAGCCCTCTATGCGTATTTATAACAACCATTTTCTTCGCTTCGTCTGACAACTCAATCTGCAGATAGGCGTCCGACAGATCTATCTGCGAAAACACCGTGCTTCCATTGAGGGATGCGAATATATCCTCCGGCAATGGCAACGGGTAATCATACGACTCCAGCGCTTTGTTGAGTCCAGTCGAGAAGTCAGCACACACTCTCAATTTTCCATTTGCTTTCCTAACACATACGATGGGAGCTGCCCATTCGCTATGTGTCACCGGACTTATAACCTTCAGGTCCAATAGCCTGTCAAGCTCCTTTTCGACGGCTTCGAGTGCGGCATGGGGGACAGGTCTACTAGCCTTGAAAACAGGACTAACGCTTTCGTTAACTTTCAAGTGTGCCTTTTCCTTCGTGCATAATCCCAAACCTTCTTTGCAGACCTCCGGGTAAGCTTCTTTCAGCTTCTGAGCGATAGCATCGTGTTGTCCCAACTTCACTTCAGCAGCCATCCTGCTCAAGTGGTACGACATTTCTTCGTTTTTCTGGATTCATTCCAGTCCTAGCAATGAGTTGTGGGGCGTCACATATGCGTAGCCTTCGCTCCTAGAACCTTTGATCTCGTAGTCGCACCATAGCTTTCCATGAACCTTCATGTAGCCTCCACTGGCATTCTTGACGACCACGTTCGTGTTTTCTAGCCGAGGAGCACCCATGCTCCTCCATATTGATTCGTTTAACAGTGTGATGTCTGATTCAGTATCCAACAGAAAGCTAACTGGATGATTATTCACTTTTGCTTCGATATACATGCGTGTCGAGTTGACATCCACCATCGCATTCGCAATCTTCGCTACGCTGTGCACATGACGTTTTGACTTCGTCCAACTTCTGTTCTTACTGGTGTCGCTGCTTCTGTGATTCTTCGTTTCGAATCTTGCTGAACAAGTGCTTTCCTCTCCGCCACTTGTTCGCAATACTTCTCCTTGTGACCTGTCTTCTTGCACTTCTTGCAAAACCACTGCTTCACCTTGCATTCCCTGGCAAAGTGAGCTTTACCACAGTTCCAGCATTCCAGCTTCGTGGGTTCCTCCTTGCTTGTTGCTTCGACAATCTTCGCGCAACCAGCTACAGTCTCGCTGTCCTTCTTGAGACTGAGGAAGTTTTCGCACTCCAAGTACAATTCGTGTAGCGACATTTTTCGTCCAGCTTTGTATTCCTTGTCCAGCACGGCAATGAGTCGCTGTCTGATTTCGGCTTCCTTTTGGCTCTTCAGGCCAAATATCCATAGCAGGCACTTGATTCCATCGCTGTCCAGCTCATGGATCTTCGCCTTTTCGCACAATTCGTTCACTCGGCCGGTGTACATGAGGTAATCTTCGACGTCGTTCTTCTGCAGCTTTAACACTGGTACCGCATTGTAAATTCGGAGATCTTCACGTCGAATAGTTGCTTTAATGTTTCGACGGTTTCTTCGAACTTAGTCGCAGTCACCTCTTTCGGCAGGACATGCCTCTGATATTTTTCGAAACATTCCTTGTCGAGCTTCTCGCAGAGAAGCCTCACCCTGGCACTCTCTGGCAGCTGCTTCGCATCTTCGACGAAGACTTCCTTGTAGCGAGCGTACCACTTACTGAAGCATTCGTCCGCTTCTGGGTCGAAGTAGAATTTTTCGATCCGGTTGCTCAGCGCGGACATCATGTTCGGAACTTCCGACGACGTACTGGGCTGTCCAGTACCTGCGATGTGCTTCAGAAACGTCTCCATCATTTCTTGCCTTTCTTCTCTCATCAATTCCCTGAGGCTCTTCTGGTCTTCTCTGATCAGTTCCTTGAACATGATCATCAAGTCTTCTGTGCCTATTTTCGCCATTTGTGACCACTCCAGCTTTTGAGATTTCGTTTCCCTGCAGCTTCTTCGGCGTGGTTCCTGGCGTGCTTCGTTACGGCTACTTCTTCGCTAGTAGCCGCTGCCTCCTGATCGCCACTGTTGTGTCCTTGACTCCGGACACGTCGATTTTTCGTTTTGAGGGCACAGAAGGAAGCCAATAAATTTATTAAAGAAATAATAGAAAAACAGAATAGATATGAGAGAGGCAAATTGGTGAACGAATCAACTGACAATGGCTAACAGCGAGCGCCTTTTATAGCGCTTATTTCCCGCGCAATGAGGCTGCGGGCGCCTCAGCGAGGGCAGATCATACGAGGAAACAACTGATCAGACACTAACACAACATTTTTAAAACATATTTCGTGAAACAAGTGCCACAGAGCACTCAAAGAATCGCACATTCAAAAGTTTATAATTCCTCGCAAATAGTCGCTTGGCAGATAATAAGCATTTGATAACTTCCAAGTTCCGTTTTGCTTAAACCTAATGATGATGCTCTGGGTCGTTTCTAGGCCTTTGGGGACGACGAAAGCGTCGAAACGTTTGGCCAATACGAATAAAATAAAATTTATTTGCAGCTTTTCAGGATGAGTTCTATGATAAGCTTGTTTAGAATGGGTGGGTTACGTTCTGACCATCTCCTGCTAAGCATAAGTTAAAATATGGATGTATTAGCATTCAAACAGTAAAGTACGATTAGAGAAGAGCACTAACACAAATTAATTATTAAAAGTGGGATACAAGGTAAGTACCATATTTCAGACTGCATTCATAAAAACAAACCTATTAGGTCATCAATGCTGCAATCTGATCTGCACGAGGTGCTCATTGTTTCTTTGTTCACTGAGAGTTTCGCTTCGCACCTCCCTCTGACGGTGATTTCGGTAAATTTTCCCAATCGCCTAGAAAAACCAAAGTGCATTACCTCAATAAACAACAACTTGATTTACCTGATTGCACGTTCTCGCTTCGATGGTGTCTCACAATCTGAGACAATAATGAGAGCTCCCTTCTTTTTCCGTTTGATAGCTTTGAAGAGCTCAAATAACAGATTTGCTGTTTTTAAGATTTTTTCATAACTACGAGTACACTTGTGACGTCCTCAATAAACAAAAAGCTTCTAGAAGAAGGCGCGCGGCAAAAGAATTTGAGAGATAAGTTTGAAATCTTTTTGACTTTTTGCAAACTTTTTGGTTAAAAGGACAAAGGATAAAGGATATGGCGTCTTCAATACCCCCTGCGGGCACGCGCCGAACGCATTCTACTTCATAGTCGAAGAGGCTGATGAATGCGTGCGGGCCCATTACAATGATTTGCGGGGGCCAGCTGATTACCAAGTAAGTGCTTTTGTCCTCCCAGTTTACTCTGTACCAGCCCCTTTGGGTAAAGGGCTCAGTTAGCGCAGGGACGCGATCGAATCTGGGTCCGATGTGATTATAGCGGGGCCTCATACCAATATGCACTCGCTTCAAACTTCTTGGTTACTGCAAACAAACAAGTACTTTACAAGCCTATAATCCATTTCAACCATTTTGCAGTATTAGATGAGTACGGTGAAATGTCTGACTGACATTGTTTAAGTACAGGGACATCGTTGCAAACGGAAAATCGTGGGCATCCTTACTCACTCATTGAAAATTCATGACAGCAATTACTCGACTGCATGTAGCACGCCTTTTTTTCAAAGACACAACTCAGCCTACAGCTTATCTCACCATATAGATGCTTTGTCAAATGTCGAACAGGGCGTTGTGCGTTTTTATGCCATGCCATAGCATCTTCTGTAGTTTCAAGTCTGTACTCCTTTTCAAACAAAGCTTAGTTATTCTTTCAACCACAAAGAATGAAAGTTTGCACAAAGTGTTTGCGAACTCAACACTTTTCGAGCTCTGCAAATAATTAGCATTTTCAATTTCCAAGAATGAATTGGTTGCAAGTGATTAGACCTAAATTCTGATGATTATCTTTTTTCCGTATGCAAGACTATACGGTTCCAAAGTGTATGTTGTATGCAAAAGGGATGCTATCCTAGACCCCACACACCTGAAACCAGATCATGCTGGATATCCTTTCAAAAAGAAAAAATAAAAAGAAATGCTTCTGCGCGGAAAAATACATCAGAATCGACCTTTCCTTTGAAACTATCTACTTGAAAACCTCACCGGAATTTTTTACTTCCGTTCTGTACATCAAGGGATCTTGAACGGTTTGAAGCAGCCCTCTATAAAGTGCACTTAGGCTGCGTTCATACTGATCCCGAATTCCAGGAACAGTTCTAGCACAACGCTTAGTTCGAGCGCTGTGCTGGAACTGTTCCCGAACTTCGGGACCAGTATGAACGCAGCCTTATGTATCAAAGCCAGTTAGCATAAAAGCTTGCGATGGGGTCGAGGGAACTTGCTGTAATCAAAACTAATCAAGGGACGCTGCTCAATCCGCTGCAGACAAGCGTACTGGCAAACCCTGTTTTCCATTTCTAGTAATGGGAGTTATGGAATAAGGTCGGTCATTAAAAGTGAAATGCAAGAAACTTTCTGTAAATGCTTGAGAAATGCAAAAAACTTCCTGTTAATGCATGAAAAAATTATTATTTTGGATTTGTCTTCCTCAGAGCCCTGAAAAGCTCAAAGCGTTATCTATAGAGCAAGACCGTGAGCAGCATCATTACGCATTACTACGTTAAAAGAAAACGATACGGTGTCCATGGCCTTTTGAGATGAGATGTAAGCCTTTACCTTCGTCTTGGAACGCTGGTCTTTTTGAAAGAAGTTATAAAGGACTTTCGCGCTAGATTCGCTTGAGGAAAATACGATCTAAAGGTTCAAACCTCCGGTGCAACGCGAGAATCTCGTTTAGGCATTGTCCTCCGGCTCACAGAAATTCGACGGAAAGATGGTCCGATCTTGGAGCCGTAGACATCTTCAGGCCTTTTTGCGACACTGTGACAAACCTTTTCCAGCTTTCGACTAAATCCTATCTTCGCTCAAAGGAGGCGGTGATCGGAGCTACTGCAGAAGGATGAAAATACTGATCGAGCAAGCTCCACCTTTGGTTGATGAGAATGTTCGATCTCCGCATAAGTCGTTGCGTTGGGCGATTCCTAAGCCCACCGGCTTTCTTTCCTTATGGAGATAGAATTTCCATGGAAAAGTCGTGCGGCGGAGAGAAGCTTAACGAGACGGTTGCCGTTTTCGTTCCGACGCCCATATCCAAACTTCCCGATCCTGTATTCCTTATCTAGTGGCACCCTCGCGTTAAAGTCGTCCACAACCAACTTGAAAAGACTTCTTGCTGCGGACGACTTCCTCTACATTTTCGTGCAAAGCATCTAGTTCTGAGTCGTCAGCTGCTGATGTTGGAGCGCAGCAGTTGATGATGCTGATGGTGTTCTGACGTAGAAGTCGTAGTCGTAGGATGGCTAATCGAGGTGACAGGATCTCATGCGAAGATGGAAGATAGATGGGTGGACGGCAAAGCCTCCAAGGTTTCGTGATGGAACCTTTTCACCATGAATGATGGGGGTCCCATCACTCATCTGTCCCACGTATTTCTTTCTGGACTTCATTTCCTGCACAGCGAAGACGTAGAATTTGATGTGCTTTGCAGCGCCGAGAAGAGCCTGCAGGTCGGCGTTTGTAGAGACTGTCTTGACGTTGTAGGTGCAGAATTGAGGCAGCCTCCATAATGTGTCGTCCGGCATACGTGTCGTTTTTGTCCAATCCAAAGGCGCCCTTAGGACCTTGACATGTTCTTGCCGCTAATGGCGCCGTAGACAATGCTATGTACAGGGTTTTTTTTCTATCATTTTTTGCTGATGGAGTAATAAAAGGTTTCTCTACAAGAGCAGGCTCACTATGCCTATTCTAGATTTGCACGGGGCGATCGCTGACCCAGGGCTTGAAGCGCGGAAAACCGCCTAGCGACCGAAAAACCAGAAACGCTCGTTGCTGAGCACTGCAGCTCGACGCTCAATGTCCTCCTCCCCCTCCGTGCCTCGGCCAAGAAAGCGCTAGAAGCACTCTGGATTCCTGCGAAGAATCCAGCAATAAACATTAAAAACGAGTTCTTATCGATAACTGCAGACTTTCTTCCATTCAAATCAACATGCAAACTGTGGGTCATATGTGCATTTATGGTACAGTTCATTCTATCCGCAAAAACCATCACTTTCGGTGCGGAAACTCAAAAAGCGGCATTCTCGTAAAGTCAGTTTATCTCATTGACAAATTTTGCGGTGGAAAAGTTGGACGACGGTAGAAACTAGCAAAAATAGAGATGGTGCTTGAGGGTTCGCTTTAGATATAACGCTCCTTGCTATTTTCAGCATCTGAGAAAAACGAAAAAGCCTCGAAACGTAAGGCCGTGATTGGAAAGAATTATCAACACTTGATAAACTTCAATAGTTTCCATGTTTCGCTTTCTGTAAACCTGGGCATCGTATGTATTCTTCAAGTGTTCTGAGCCACACAGGTTTTTTAGATGGTCTTTATTATCCAATCACGGCCTAACGTTTCGACGCCTTCGTCTTCCTCAGAGGCCTAAAATGGTTCAAAACGTCATCCGTGACGTTTTGAACCATTTTTTTTAGAACTAGACGGACTAGGGGAGGTGGCTTGGAGTCACGGATGACGTTTTGAACCATTTTAGGCCTCTGAGGAAGACGAAGGCGTCGAAACGTTAGGCCGTGATAGGATAATAAAGACCATCTAAAAAACCTGTGTGGCTCAGAACACTTGAAGAATACTTGATAAACTATTTGGTACAGAATCGTCTAAGAATCAGTTGTTGGCTCAGTAGTTGCCATAAGCACAATGGGTGATCCAAGCTACATCTCTTACCAAAAGTCTATTTATTTTTACAGGACTGTCTTTGGTAAATTGAAAATTTGCTTATCTATCCTTTTTGCGCGGTTTTTTTTTAAAAATGGACTTGACTAGTTATGAGTTGAGTTCCAAACTTTGCAGATCTACATGTCAAACACATTCATTACTCTAAAAAATGAGCATATTCAACAATGCTCCTCGCTGTTGGAGAAGATTCAAGTTTGCTCGCGTTGTGCTTCTCCCTATAACGCACTGTCTTTTCAGTAAAGTTGAACACCTGCATTTTTGAAACCTAGGTAGAAATTTTGAGTTGCTTAAATATGTTCATCTGCTTTCAAGAATTAAAATTTGCAATTGCGACCTACAATTTCTTTTCTGTTAGGGCTTCTAAATGAGTTTAGGCTGCACTTGAAAGCCAATTTAGTGTCAATGAATCTTCGCGGCAGAAAAATATGGAATGGCAGTGGCGCCCATGGCTAGCGCTTTGAAGGGCTACGGAGAGGAAATGCCAATAGACACATCATTTACTTCAGTGCACCTGTCAATCGTATTTCTTCAACGGGATTTGTCTGAAAAGCTTCGAAGCATATTGGAACGCGCCTTGCCAAAAGATGAAAGTGTACATGCACTGTGAGATAAAATAGCTGAGATATTCTCGCACAGAATGAAACTTTTCGACGAACACCAAGCATTGGATATTCACCTCATCTTCGCTAACTGTTGTACCATTTGCATCATTTGATGTTCGTGCTACGAAGTGACCATAAGGATAGAAATAACGTGAGTCTCGTCTATACGTTATAGTGGCATTGAAGTAATCACGTGGTACCTGATGTATCAACATTTACCTATATACTAGAACTGTGACTGTATTTGTACAAGTTGTGACTACTTGAAAGAGTGTGTTTGATACGAACTATGCCTTTAACTTGCAGGCAAGGTGATTCTTCCTGCGCAAATGAACTTGAGAAATGGTATTCCTTGAACTGCTTATCTTGCAGACTAGTTACTTGAGAGGTGTGGTTTGAGCGGTTGACCAAGATGATACACAGTTTATTATTGTACAATGGCCTACGTTTCGGCGCTGTCGCCTTCGTCAGAGCCTGGAAGTCGGACTCATCAGAATCTATTCCCTCAGACGTCAACAAAGGACACAGAGTACTATTCGAGAAAAAGCCAATGAAAACTCAGTCAGAGCAACAAGAGCAATACTAACCTT